TGAACCGTCTTCTTTGGGTGAAATTGATGTCTCAAAGGTTTCGGGTGGTTGGATTATTTCTTTAATGTGGGGAGTGGCACATGGTGCTAGATGTCGTGTTGATACAGTGTCAATTCTGCCATTCATAAATTTTATACACTGCTTAATAGCCCAAGCAATTGCCTCATTACAATTAATAAACCCTAAGCCGTAACAAAGGGCTCCAAATGTGGCCTTGAAAATGCACACCAAAAGTACAAACAGAGATATCTTTCAATTTCAAAAAGGATTTGGTTTCTTAAAATGTAAAAGACAATAAGGGGCACTTATTTTACAACAAGTGGTAAAATAATTGTTCCTCTATGTTGTTAGCAGCTATCCATATTTGTTTAAAATAAAACTTAAGAGTTTTTAATGCGTTTTTTAGTAAACATCGTTCATTTTCAGAACATTTTGTAATAATTTTGAGTTGATCTTTTAAAAACACAAATTTGTCATCAATTTTTTTTGTTAGGTAATTGTTTCAAAACATCGTAGAGTCCTTTTCTAGTCATCTTTTTCATTATTAAATGGGATTCTGAAAAAAAAAATGAAACGAGTTTTTATCGAAAAAAAAATTGTTTTTGTCAAATTATTTAATCAAAATTAAATTTATAAAAATGCAAGATTTATTTTGGACTTTTTTTTCAAAAATATTAACTAGAAATACTAATGTTCAAGTTACAATCAAAATCTTAGCTAAAACTCAGCCTAACTAGGTTTTGACAATGTGGTCTCAAAACCAATCATTAGAATGGCTCTCAAAACCAATCATTAGAATAGTAAAAAAGCTTTTAAAAAAGATAAAGATATGTACCTTCTACCTAAGCAAGAAGAAAAAAATAGAAAAGAAATTAAATTACAATAAAAAAGTTAAGTTTGAATTTAGATAAAGAATCAAATTTAAATGTAAGAACATGGACTTCATTAGAGGAAGCAGATAAAACAGTTTGCAATATTGAAGAGCCATTAAAATTAAAAGTGCTCTTCGCTCAACTCAATTTTATCGCATAATCTTAGGTGTTGAATGTTACAAAAAAAATTCATTGAAAAAAAAAGTTTGAAGGAAGCAAGTCTTTGAGAGAATTATATAAAAAATGGGGATAATTAAATAAAATATATAAAATTTTGGGAAAATTATATATATAAAAAAGCAAATCTTTGAGAAAATTATATAAAAGTCTTCATATTTTAATTCAAAACTAAGTAAATAATCTTTAAGTAATGCGAGTAACAGTATAAAGTATGATGTGTGAAGCAGCTGTTGAATTCATAAAAAAAAAATTTATCGAGAAAATTCAAGATGCAAACTAAAAATAATACTTGATCTACAAAAATATGCAATGTTTATCAAAATTTATTTGTAACTCATTTGATTTTGTTGGTAAATTTATTCAGCATTGTGTTAGGGAGGAAAATTCTTTTGAAGTATCTTGGAAGCATGCACAAGTTGTACAAATAGATCATATAAATGGGAAACGATCCTCATACTATGTTAAGATAATGAGCCTAATAAACTGTGGTCTTTTTTTTAATTAGTTGATTTTTAAAAAGGCAACCTTATTATTTTTAGTTAAGATTGTATGGTATTACTTAAGACAAGTTTTTTTATTATGGAATAATTAACGTTGTGTCTGCCGCAACGGTACCGTTGCTTTAATTTTTTATCTTAAAGTCATTGTAGTAAAGTTTGATTGGTCTATTTTAAACCACAGCTGTGAATATTATTGGTTGATTTTGAATATTTTATTTGTTCAAATTTAAAAAGAATTGCAGCTTGACATCGAGTCCTTCACTTAGAAAAATCTTTTTAATGTTTTTTAACTATTTTTATTGAAAGTTATTATTATTGCTGTATTTTAAAAGTTACATTGATTTTAATTATTTACATAATCGACTGATATAGGGATAGGCGCAGTGAGTTTAGGGGAGAGTTGCCATAATTGGAACAGCACCTTAATTAGAACACTTGCATTTATTTTTCAAAAAATATGAATTATAGCTTTTTATTACATTTTTTTTAGTAAAATGCCTTATTTTCTACGTTTTGACGAATTTTGATTGTCATTCCTCAAAAAAATGCATTTGCACCGTTGATTTAAAGTTTTTTTGCGTCATTTGTTTCAGTGATCTAATTTTGTGTTCTCGCTATATTGATTGCGCTGGATAAACTATACTACCATAGGTTATACGGTTTTTTGTGTTTAATTTGATGAGATTTAAAATGCAAAATGACAATATAAACTTATCTTATAAATTGCTGCAAGCTTGATACTGCAATGATATAACAAAATAGTCTAAATTTTGTTGATTAGAACTATAGCTTTTTCCTAGTCTTAATCTTAATCAGTGATTTTATCACTGATTAAGATTCCTAACTTAATCAGATTAAGTTTCCTAACTTAATCAGTGATAAAATCACTGATTAAGTTAGGAAAAAGGGTTGTAGAAATAGTTTAAGCGCAATTTAAAATGTTTATTAACGATCATGAACCTTAAAAATAATACTTTATTTAGTGATTTTTAATCAACAAGTTAACAGAACGTCATGATAGTTGAAGCTTTAACACAATTTTTGTTTCTAGACTTTCAGTTTGTCCGGGTAATATTAATCCTATTATAAATTTTTAATGAACTTTTTTATTTTTACTGTAAAGATAAAAATCATTTTAAATCAATTTTTTTTTAATTTTACTGTTTTTTTATTTAAAAAAACAACTGCTTTGATTAAGGAATCAAAGTGTTCCAATTTGGGGAAACAGTTGCCTTGATTGAAACAAAATAGTAGCTTTGTAAAAACAAATGTATTTCTAATAACAGTGCAATCAATTAAGTCAAATTATGGTTAAAGGTATAGTAGGGTTGTCTATTTGTATTAATCAAATCATAAATGTTTTAATAAATATTTATTCCTAAAGTGTTCCAATTGAGGCAACTCTCCCCTACCTACATCCAGTGATATAGGGATAGGAGCAGTGAGTGTACACACCTCAACTGATTTAGGGATAGGCGAAGTGAAGCACACATATATCGATTAAGGGTATTGGTTTGGGCATGCATTCTTTAAAAAAAAGGAAAAAAAATCAACTCATCAGAAATCACTACAGTGACTTTAAGAAAAAAATGAAAGCGGCGGTACCGTTGCGCTAAACACAACGTAAAATTAAACTTTTACTTTTTTCCTTTACAATTAATAAAAATATCTTATTAATAAGTGTATAAATCATATTTTATGTGTTACATGTATATATAAAATAGATAAAGTATTTTAATATTTATGTTATAATAAAATTATTAGAATTAGTAAAAATTAAAAATAGTAATATATTAACCATTTCAATTTTGAAATTTTTAGAAAATTATTACCTAACACTATGCAAACTACGTTTATACATAGGCAATAATGTCTTCTTTTCTTGCCCTTCGTACCATTTTTAATTTGTTTTATATTAGAGTTAAAATTTACTTATATTGGTTTGGCATTAAAGATCAATGCATCTTTAAAACTAAACCAAAATAAGCATGGAACTTAATCATTGAAACTAAAGTTTACTTCACTAATCGGTCAGTTAAAATTAACAGTGAAAGAATCACTGTTAAAATCAAAGTTAAAGTAGATTAAATAAGTAAGTTAAAATTAATTCGCTAATCGGTAAACTATCAGTGAAATAATCTCTATTATCTTTTACTAGCATCTGTTTTACTTACTGAGGGAAAGTTTTAAATTAAATTTTTTGATATTCTGTAAGCAACAATAACCATGCTTGGTAACACCTTGAAATTAAATGACTTATTATGTAAAGGGATGTTTCCCTATTCAAACGACAATATTATGCAATTATTAAGGCCTTAGATTATTAATGTAATGCCTTAAGTTATTAATGCAGCTAACTGCAGGTAAATATGTAAATATATATGCAGGTAAAGTTTATTTATACATGATATAGTGCAAAGTTGTTGTTCATTTTGAAAAACAACATTGTAAACCTCAATAATAATTACATCAATAACAAATAATAAAAGAAAAACTCCGAAGAATCTATAAGTTTACTAATCAATACAATATAAATGTTCACGTTCAACCTCTAATAATAACATTCCTACAACTACTAGTCATTCTACCTTTACTTTATGACAACCTTTTAAAAAATTTTAAAAATTTAGAATTGTTCTTTTTTTAATCAGAACGTGAATATTTGTTGCAGCAGTCACAAATCGTCGCGAAAAATGATATATCTATGAAAATCATTACATAATTGTAACCTTTTTTAAGAAAAAAAAGTGAAATAAACGTTAGAAGTTTATTTGAAAATGTATAACATAGTTTTTTCGGAGATATTTTAAATATATTATTAGTTGACAAAATATATATATATATATATATATATATATATATATATGTATATCTATAAATACGATACATGATTTCTAAAGATATATTGAAAAATTTCAACGAATAAATCTTTTATTAAAGACAATTCTACAGTCGTTCTTCAAAAAAGTATTTTTATATGATAAACTTTTTCTAATCATATGGAAGTAAATTATTCTTGACTTTGGAAAAACTCTTGTTTTTTAATATTTATACTGATTTTTTATTACCTTCACCTGTTGGAGGAGATTAAGAGTTTATTAAGTTAGATTTTTTTTAATTTTAATAAAAGATAATATGTTCTTTTGAGTTGAATAATTTTCTTCTAGTGTTTCCATTTTTTTTAAAAGTTTGAAGTTTTTGGAAAATTCTGACCCTCCCGTTTATTAAGACCCTTCCCCCTCTCCCCTTCCTCCAAAATATTAAAGATAATTAGAATCTAGTAGTACCTATCTTATACATATATTAGAAATATATATTAATAAAACCAGAGATGAGTTAAAACGCTGACATTTTTGTTGCTGTTTTAAAAGTATAAAATATATGAGTTCTATTCGTAAATATTCTAGAATTGCATTTAAAATGCTTTGAAATATATATTACGCTGTACTACAGTGTAGGTTGTTAAACATTATTTTAAACCCAAAGATTTAAGAGTATTACAAGAAAAGCAAAAATATATTTATATTTGGCAAAGTCAACATTTTATTTTTATTTCAAGGATCAAAGATTCGGTGTTTAGATAATTGTAATAAAGATTTCTTCGGATAACCGACTTTTAGGTAGGATTTTCAAAAATAATATTTTTTCTATCTCCGATTACGGAGTCGTCTTGCACTTGCATAATTTGTACTGTATTAGTAGAGGATGCACCCGGATGCCATCCAGAAACAAAAATGATAAAAGATCCTGACTTTATAAATCCCATATCACGTCCTCTAGCAATTCCAAAATCTAAACGGTCATACATATCGTCATGCCATGTTCTGTTACGGTCTGGAAGATAAACTAATGGAAACAAACCACGGTATAAATGGCAAATACGAGCAATATGCTCATCTCTGGTGATCACAATAATTGGACAACGAGGACGATATTTGGATAATGTCCAGGCCGTGCTAAAAATTTAAAAATTATTTTTAAACGAGTAAAAAATTACGTGCCATTTTTTCAAATTGTTTAAAAATATATATAAAAATTACCGGCCAGACGTTGTGAGCACAATGATAGCGCATGCATTAGTCTTAAATGAAGCAGTAACTGCAGAAATACTAGTTGTTTCTGTGATGTCAGTAAAATCATCTTTACCAGCTCTTTCAAAAAACGAGTCCCTTAAGAATTGAACAGTAGCAGCTTGTCGACATATCTGCAATAAAATTTGATACCATTATAACATATAATTATATAAGTGTAAAGCATAAAATTTTAAATCTCAACGTAAAAATGAAAAAAGTAATTACTTTATGCATTATATCAACAGCTTCTACGGGATATAAACCATTAGCAGTTTCACCAGATAACATGACACAATCAGCGCCATCAACAACAGCGTTTCCGACATCAGTAATTTCAGCACGTGTTGGACGCGGATTCTTAACCATGGATTCTAACATCTAAAACAATGATTTTTGATTTAAAAAAAATAAAATATACATGAAATCAATAAACTGAACCTTGATAAAAATACTGACTTGAGTCGCACAAATGACCGGTTTTCCTGCTCTGTTGCAGCGAGTAATAAGGATTTTTTGCGCCAAAAATACTTTTTCGGCAGGCATTTCCATACCCATATCTCCTCGAGCTACCATGATACCGTCTGATGCTGCTATGATTTCGTCAACATTAACAACACCTTCGTGGTTTTCAATTTTAGAAATTACTTTGATATATTTGCCTTCTTCGCCGAGTGCTTTGCGTACATCTTCAACATCTGAGGCTTTACGAATAAATGAAGCAAACACCATATCAACCTGTAATATTTTCATTTTTTTTAAAAGAATAAAAAGTCTATGGTTTTATTTACTCATATAGCGCGAAAGCCAATTGCATTTCAAAATACATACTTTGTTTTTCACTCCAAATTGTAAGTCCTGTGCATCTTTTTCTGAAACGGAAGGCAAAGTAATTATAGCCCCAGGTAAGTTACAGTTTTTACGACTGCCTATTGTTGTATCATTTAAAACTTCTGCCAAAAGATTTTTGCTGTCAATGATTTCTTTTACTTCGAGTAAAAAGTTACCATCTGCAATAACAATATGACCCCCTGGTTTGACAGAAGTGATAAGATCTTTATAATCTAGATACTGTTGAGTCTCAGAGCATTCATGTTCAAAAGCTGGATCACAAGATACCTTTATAATGCTACCTTTTTTATAAAAAACATCGTTCCCCTAAAAACATTTCATAACAATAAAATAGTTTATTGATATAAGGTATATGAACTATAAAAATAAAATTAAACGTTAAGTTTAACATTTTAAACACTTTTAATTATTTTGAGTACATTTTTCATAAATCCAGTTCTAATTTCTGGTCCCTTAGTATCTAAAGCAATTGCAACAACATGTGGCAATGAAGATAAAGCAGCTTCTCTAACATTGTTGATTGTTTTTTGGTGGTACTAAAATACAAATTTAAATAACTTCATTACTATATACTTCATTAAATTGCTACACAAAAAAAAAAAAAAAAAAAAAAAAAAAAGAAAAAGAAATATAACAGAGATTATTAAAGTCGTTAAAACAGAAATTAATGTCGTTAAAACAGAGTAAAAAAAAAATGATACTTTTAATTAATACCTTTGCATATTTATTATAATTTGTTTACAATTTTTACCTTTTTAGACTATTTATTGGGGTTTAATATATATAAATAAAATCAGAATAATTTTATTTATATTTAATAATTTTTTACATTTACACAGAAACAAATTAAGAAAAAAAAAAATGCTTCTTCACTGAAGGTTTTTTAAGAAAAACTTCCAAACAACTTAATTTCTTTGAAACAACTATAGCAGAATTATATTTAGGTTATCAAGCTAAACCTTTTTTTTAAACTTAGATACATATTGTTGTTGACCCGATCAAAACTAATGCAAGTAATTTAGTATTAAGGTTTTTATAATATTATCTAAAATATAAAGAAACACAATATACATAATATAAATATAATAACGCAATATTGAAATAACACAATAACACAATATCACAGTCTTCTGCCCTTCCAATAGATATTTATATATAGTTTTGATTTAGTTAAGTTTTGTTACAAATTAAGCTTTGAGGGTGGTCTTCTAATACGATGTGGACGGCTATTTTTAACTAGTAAGTTTTGGGTAGTAGTGACATCAGGATATTGAGTTAATGATGGTGTAATATTGGTAATAGTAGTCGTTTTATTTGGAGAAGGTAAATTATTGGTGGCAGACAGAGGATGGTAATCAGTTGGTAATATCAGGTTATTTTCATCAGTTTCAAAGTTATTGCTAACGTTTGTAGCTGTTGAACCGTCTTCTTTGGGTGAAATTGATGTCTCAAAGGTTTCGGGTGGTTGGATTATTTCTTTAATGTGGGGAGTGGCACATGGTGCTAGATGTCGTGTTGATACAGTGTCAATTCTGCCATTCATAAATTTTATACACTGCTTAATAGCCCAAGCAATTGCCTCATTACAATTAATAAACCCTAAGCCGTAACAAAGGGCTCCAAATGTGGCCTTGAAAATGCACACCAAAAGTACAAACAGAGATATCTTTCAATTTCAAAAAGGATTTGGTTTCTTAAAATGTAAAAGACAATAAGGGGCACTTATTTTACAACAAGTGGTAAAATAATTGTTCCTCTATGTTGTTAGCAGCTATCCATATTTGTTTAAAATAAAACTTAAGAGTTTTTAATGCGTTTTTTAGTAAACATCGTTCATTTTCAGAACATTTTGTAATAATTTTGAGTTGATCTTTTAAAAACACAAATTTGTCATCAATTTTTTTTTGTTAGGTAATTGTTTCAAAACATCGTAGAGTCCTTTTCTAGTCATCTTTTTCATTATTAAATGGGATTCTGAAAAAAAAAATGAAACGAGTTTTTATCGAAAAAAAAATTGTTTTTGTCAAATTATTTAATCAAAATTAAATTTATAAAAATGCAAGATTTATTTTGGACTTTTTTTTCAAAAATATTAACTAGAAATACTAATGTTCAAGTTACAATCAAAATCTTAGCTAAAACTCAGCCTAACTAGGTTTTGACAATGTGGTCTCAAAACCAATCATTAGAATGGCTCTCAAAACCAATCATTAGAATAGTAAAAAAGCTTTTAAAAAAGATAAAGATATGTACCTTCTACCTAAGCAAGAAGAAAAAAATAGAAAAGAAATTAAATTACAATAAAAAAGTTAAGTTTGAATTTAGATAAAGAATCAAATTTAAATGTAAGAACATGGACTTCATTAGAGGAAGCAGATAAAACAGTTTGCAATATTGAAGAGCCATTAAAATTAAAAGTGCTCTTCGCTCAACTCAATTTTATCGCATAATCTTAGGTGTTGAATGTTACAAAAAAAATTCATTGAAAAAAAAAGTTTGAAGGAAGCAAGTCTTTGAGAGAATTATATAAAAAATGGGGATAATTAAATAAAATATATAAAATTTTGGGAAAATTATATATATAAAAAAGCAAATCTTTGAGAAAATTATATAAAAGTCTTCATATTTTAATTCAAAACTAAGTAAATAATCTTTAAGTAATGCGAGTAACAGTATAAAGTATGATGTGTGAAGCAGCTGTTGAATTCATAAAAAAAAAATTTATCGAGAAAATTCAAGATGCAAACTAAAAATAATACTTGATCTACAAAAATATGCAATGTTTATCAAAATTTATTTGTAACTCATTTGATTTTGTTGGTAAATTTATTCAGCATTGTGTTAGGGAGGAAAATTCTTTTGAAGTATCTTGGAAGCATGCACAAGTTGTACAAATAGATCATATAAATGGGAAACGATCCTCATACTATGTTAAGATAATGAGCCTAATAAACTGTGGTCTTTTTTTTAATTAGTTGATTTTTAAAAAGGCAACCTTATTATTTTTAGTTAAGATTGTATGGTATTACTTAAGACAAGTTTTTTTATTATGGAATAATTAACGTTGTGTCTGCCGCAACGGTACCGTTGCTTTAATTTTTTATCTTAAAGTCATTGTAGTAAAGTTTGATTGGTCTATTTTAAACCACAGCTGTGAATATTATTGGTTGATTTTGAATATTTTATTTGTTCAAATTTAAAAAGAATTGCAGCTTGACATCGAGTCCTTCACTTAGAAAAATCTTTTTAATGTTTTTTAACTATTTTTATTGAAAGTTATTATTATTGCTGTATTTTAAAAGTTACATTGATTTTAATTATTTACATAATCGACTGATATAGGGATAGGCGCAGTGAGTTTAGGGGAGAGTTGCCATAATTGGAACAGCACCTTAATTAGAACACTTGCATTTATTTTTCAAAAAATATGAATTATAGCTTTTTATTACATTTTTTTTAGTAAAATGCCTTATTTTCTACGTTTTGACGAATTTTGATTGTCATTCCTCAAAAAAATGCATTTGCACCGTTGATTTAAAGTTTTTTTGCGTCATTTGTTTCAGTGATCTAATTTTGTGTTCTCGCTATATTGATTGCGCTGGATAAACTATACTACCATAGGTTATACGGTTTTTTGTGTTTAATTTGATGAGATTTAAAATGCAAAATGACAATATAAACTTATCTTATAAATTGCTGCAAGCTTGATACTGCAATGATATAACAAAATAGTCTAAATTTTGTTGATTAGAACTATAGCTTTTTCCTAGTCTTAATCTTAATCAGTGATTTTATCACTGATTAAGATTCCTAACTTAATCAGATTAAGTTTCCTAACTTAATCAGTGATAAAATCACTGATTAAGTTAGGAAAAAGGGTTGTAGAAATAGTTTAAGCGCAATTTAAAATGTTTATTAACGATCATGAACCTTAAAAATAATACTTTATTTAGTGATTTTTAATCAACAAGTTAACAGAACGTCATGATAGTTGAAGCTTTAACACAATTTTTGTTTCTAGACTTTCAGTTTGTCCGGGTAATATTAATCCTATTATAAATTTTTAATGAACTTTTTTATTTTTACTGTAAAGATAAAAATCATTTTAAATCAATTTTTTTTTAATTTTACTGTTTTTTTATTTAAAAAAACAACTGCTTTGATTAAGGAATCAAAGTGTTCCAATTTGGGGAAACAGTTGCCTTGATTGAAACAAAATAGTAGCTTTGTAAAAACAAATGTATTTCTAATAACAGTGCAATCAATTAAGTCAAATTATGGTTAAAGGTATAGTAGGGTTGTCTATTTGTATTAATCAAATCATAAATGTTTTAATAAATATTTATTCCTAAAGTGTTCCAATTGAGGCAACTCTCCCCTACCTACATCCAGTGATATAGGGATAGGAGCAGTGAGTGTACACACCTCAACTGATTTAGGGATAGGCGAAGTGAAGCACACATATATCGATTAAGGGTATTGGTTTGGGCATGCATTCTTTAAAAAAAAGGAAAAAAAATCAACTCATCAGAAATCACTACAGTGACTTTAAGAAAAAAATGAAAGCGGCGGTACCGTTGCGCTAAACACAACGTAAAATTAAACTTTTACTTTTTTCCTTTACAATTAATAAAAATATCTTATTAATAAGTGTATAAATCATATTTTATGTGTTACATGTATATATAAAATAGATAAAGTATTTTAATATTTATGTTATAATAAAATTATTAGAATTAGTAAAAATTAAAAATAGTAATATATTAACCATTTCAATTTTGAAATTTTTAGAAAATTATTACCTAACACTATGCAAACTACGTTTATACATAGGCAATAATGTCTTCTTTTCTTGCCCTTCGTACCATTTTTAATTTGTTTTATATTAGAGTTAAAATTTACTTATATTGGTTTGGCATTAAAGATCAATGCATCTTTAAAACTAAACCAAAATAAGCATGGAACTTAATCATTGAAACTAAAGTTTACTTCACTAATCGGTCAGTTAAAATTAACAGTGAAAGAATCACTGTTAAAATCAAAGTTAAAGTAGATTAAATAAGTAAGTTAAAATTAATTCGCTAATCGGTAAACTATCAGTGAAATAATCTCTATTATCTTTTACTAGCATCTGTTTTACTTACTGAGGGAAAGTTTTAAATTAAATTTTTTGATATTCTGTAAGCAACAATAACCATGCTTGGTAACACCTTGAAATTAAATGACTTATTATGTAAAGGGATGTTTCCCTATTCAAACGACAATATTATGCAATTATTAAGGCCTTAGATTATTAATGTAATGCCTTAAGTTATTAATGCAGCTAACTGCAGGTAAATATGTAAATATATATGCAGGTAAAGTTTATTTATACATGATATAGTGCAAAGTTGTTGTTCATTTTGAAAAACAACATTGTAAACCTCAATAATAATTACATCAATAACAAATAATAAAAGAAAAACTCCGAAGAATCTATAAGTTTACTAATCAATACAATATAAATGTTCACGTTCAACCTCTAATAATAACATTCCTACAACTACTAGTCATTCTACCTTTACTTTATGACAACCTTTTAAAAAATTTTAAAAATTTAGAATTGTTCTTTTTTTAATCAGAACGTGAATATTTGTTGCAGCAGTCACAAATCGTCGCGAAAAATGATATATCTATGAAAATCATTACATAATTGTAACCTTTTTTAAGAAAAAAAAGTGAAATAAACGTTAGAAGTTTATTTGAAAATGTATAACATAGTTTTTTCGGAGATATTTTAAATATATTATTAGTTGACAAAATATATATATATATATATATATATATATATATATATATATGTATATCTATAAATACGATACATGATTTCTAAAGATATATTGAAAAATTTCAACGAATAAATCTTTTATTAAAGACAATTCTACAGTCGTTCTTCAAAAAAGTATTTTTATATGATAAACTTTTTCTAATCATATGGAAGTAAATTATTCTTGACTTTGGAAAAACTCTTGTTTTTTAATATTTATACTGATTTTTTATTACCTTCACCTGTTGGAGGAGATTAAGAGTTTATTAAGTTAGATTTTTTTTAATTTTAATAAAAGATAATATGTTCTTTTGAGTTGAATAATTTTCTTCTAGTGTTTCCATTTTTTTTAAAAGTTTGAAGTTTTTGGAAAATTCTGACCCTCCCGTTTATTAAGACCCTTCCCCCTCTCCCCTTCCTCCAAAATATTAAAGATAATTAGAATCTAGTAGTACCTATCTTATACATATATTAGAAATATATATTAATAAAACCAGAGATGAGTTAAAACGCTGACATTTTTGTTGCTGTTTTAAAAGTATAAAATATATGAGTTCTATTCGTAAATATTCTAGAATTGCATTTAAAATGCTTTGAAATATATATTACGCTGTACTACAGTGTAGGTTGTTAAACATTATTTTAAACCCAAAGATTTAAGAGTATTACAAGAAAAGCAAAAATATATTTATATTTGGCAAAGTCAACATTTTATTTTTATTTCAAGGATCAAAGATTCGGTGTTTAGATAATTGTAATAAAGATTTCTTCGGATAACCGACTTTTAGGTAGGATTTTCAAAAATAATATTTTTTCTATCTCCGATTACGGAGTCGTCTTGCACTTGCATAATTTGTACTGTATTAGTAGAGGATGCACCCGGATGCCATCCAGAAACAAAAATGATAAAAGATCCTGACTTTATAAATCCCATATCACGTCCTCTAGCAATTCCAAAATCTAAACGGTCATACATATCGTCATGCCATGTTCTGTTACGGTCTGGAAGATAAACTAATGGAAACAAACCACGGTATAAATGGCAAATACGAGCAATATGCTCATCTCTGGTGATCACAATAATTGGACAACGAGGACGATATTTGGATAATGTCCAGGCCGTGCTAAAAATTTAAAAATTATTTTTAAACGAGTAAAAAATTACGTGCCATTTTTTCAAATTGTTTAAAAATATATATAAAAATTACCGGCCAGACGTTGTGAGCACAATGATAGCGCATGCATTAGTCTTAAATGAAGCAGTAACTGCAGAAATACTAGTTGTTTCTGTGATGTCAGTAAAATCATCTTTACCAGCTCTTTCAAAAAACGAGTCCCTTAAGAATTGAACAGTAGCAGCTTGTCGACATATCTGCAATAAAATTTGATACCATTATAACATATAATTATATAAGTGTAAAGCATAAAATTTTAAATCTCAACGTAAAAATGAAAAAAGTAATTACTTTATGCATTATATCAACAGCTTCTACGGGATATAAACCATTAGCAGTTTCACCAGATAACATGACACAATCAGCGCCATCAACAACAGCGTTTCCGACATCAGTAATTTCAGCACGTGTTGGACGCGGATTCTTAACCATGGATTCTAACATCTAAAACAATGATTTTTGATTTAAAAAAAATAAAATATACATGAAATCAATAAACTGAACCTTGATAAAAATACTGACTTGAGTCGCACAAATGACCGGTTTTCCTGCTCTGTTGCAGCGAGTAATAAGGATTTTTTGCGCCAAAAATACTTTTTCGGCAGGCATTTCCATACCCATATCTCCTCGAGCTACCATGATACCGTCTGATGCTGCTATGATTTCGTCAACATTAACAACACCTTCGTGGTTTTCAATTTTAGAAATTACTTTGATATATTTGCCTTCTTCGCCGAGTGCTTTGCGTACATCTTCAACATCTGAGGCTTTACGAATAAATGAAGCAAACACCATATCAACCTGTAATATTTTCATTTTTTTTAAAAGAATAAAAAGTCTATGGTTTTATTTACTCATATAGCGCGAAAGCCAATTGCATTTCAAAATACATACTTTGTTTTTCACTCCAAATTGTAAGTCCTGTGCATCTTTTTCTGAAACGGAAGGCAAAGTAATTATAGCCCCAGGTAAGTTACAGTTTTTACGACTGCCTATTGTTGTATCATTTAAAACTTCTGCCAAAAGATTTTTGCTGTCAATGATTTCTTTTACTTCGAGTAAAAAGTTACCATCTGCAATAACAATATGACCCCCTGGTTTGACAGAAGTGATAAGATCTTTATAATCTAGATACTGTTGAGTCTCAGAGCATTCATGTTCAAAAGCTGGATCACAAGATACCTTTATAATGCTACCTTTTTTATAAAAAACATCGTTCCCCTAAAAACATTTCATAACAATAAAATAGTTTATTGATATAAGGTATATGAACTATAAAAATAAAATTAAACGTTAAGTTTAACATTTTAAACACTTTTAATTATTTTGAGTACATTTTTCATAAATCCAGTTCTAATTTCTGGTCCCTTAGTATCTAAAGCAATTGCAACAACATGTGGCAATGAAGATAAAGCAGCTTCTCTAACATTGTTGATTGTTTTTTGGTGGTACTAAAATACAAATTTAAATAACTTCATTACTATATACTTCATTAAATTGCTACACAAAAAAAAAAAAAAAAAAAAAAAAAAAAGAAAAAGAAATATAACAGAGATTATTAAAGTCGTTAAAACAGAAATTAATGTCGTTAAAACAGAGTAAAAAAAAAATGATACTTTTAATTAATACCTTTGCATATTTATTATAATTTGTTTACAATTTTTACCTTTTTAGACTATTTATTGGGGTTTAATATATATAAATAAAATCAGAATAATTTTATTTATATTTAATAATTTTTTACATTTACACAGAAACAAATTAAGAAAAAAAAAAATGCTTCTTCACTGAAGGTTTTTTAAGAAAAACTTCCAAACAACTTAATTTCTTTGAAACAACTATAGCAGAATTATATTTAGGTTATCAAGCTAAACCTTTTTTTTAAACTTAGATACATATTGTTGTTGACCCGATCAAAACTAATGCAAGTAATTTAGTATTAAGGTTTTTATAATATTATCTAAAATATAAAGAAACACAATATACATAATATAAATATAATAACGCAATATTGAAATAACACAATAACACAATATCACAGTCTTCTGCCCTTCCAATAGATATTTATATATAGTTTTGATTTAGTTAAGTTTTGTTACAAATTAAGCTTTGAGGGTGGTCTTCTAATACGATGTGGACGGCTATTTTTAACTAGTAAGTTTTGGGTAGTAGTGACATCAGGATATTGAGTTAATGATGGTGTAATATTGGTAATAGTAGTCGTTTTATTTGGAGAAGGTAAATTATTGGTGGCAGACAGAGGATGGTAATCAGTTGGTAATATCAGGTTATTTTCATCAGTTTCAAAGTTATTGCTAACGTTTGTAGCTGTTGAACCGTCTTCTTTGGGTGAAATTGATGTCTCAAAGGTTTCGGGTGGTTGGATTATTTCTTTAATGTGGGGAGTGGCACATGGTGCTAGATGTCGTGTTGATACAGTGTCAATTCTGCCATTCATAAATTTTATACGTGCATAGTGTGGTGATACAGTTTCAAGCAAAGTGACTGGTTCTACCAATGGATCTCCTTTCAATCGAAGGTGATTTTTATGTAGGACAGTACTACCTGATTCTACTAGGAAGTCAGGTAGATCAACACCAGTAATAGTTGAGCATTTGAAACCCATTAATCTGTTGTGTGGACTAGAATTTGTTGAAGTGCATAGTAGGGATCGAATAGAGGATAGAGCTGCAGGGAGTACCAGTTCCCAATCAGTTTTTTTTAGTTCAAAACTTCGTAAAGCTAAGTTTATTGTTTTCCTCCAAAATGAAGTGTTAGAGCTGAGTGTTTATTTAAAATGTTTATACCAATAATAAAAGGTGATACTAGCTGTTTTACTACAAAGAGTTTAGTTGAATATGAGTGGTTCCCTATTATTAAGGTACTGTCATATTGGCCAATAATTTGTGCGGGTGAATTATCTGCAAGACAGATTGATTTCCTGATATTTGTGTTAAACTTAAGATTGTTCTCAGACATAAAATTTAGAGAGATAAAGGATAGGTCAGAGCCTGTGTTGATAAGGGCTTGTACTGGTATTCCGTTGACTATTGCATTTATCAGACCTGATTTTTGATTTATTGAGGCTAAGATTGTGGCCGTGTGTGGGATGTTATCTTGGTTGATGTCATTATTGCACTCATAGTTTGTTGCCGCACCCTTTATTGGTGTTTTATTTGGATATTTTAGTTTTATGCTGTTGTTTTGATTTAGTTTGTTACTTAAGCAGACAGTGGCCCAGTGTCCTTTTTTTCCACAGTTATTGCAAGTTGAGTTTCGTGCATTGCATTGGGACCTATCATGTCATTGACCCCCACACCAGATACAAGAGTGTTTTGTAGCTGCAAAAATAGGACATTGTTCAGGTAAAGAAAAAGTTTTAGTGTCTTCGATTGCTAGATCCATAGTTGTTGCTGTAAGTAGAAGTTTTTCTAGTGAGTCGTTAGATGATTCTAAGAGGTGTTGACGAATCATTGGAGATGAAAGGCCAGCTACAAATGCATCGCTTATTAACATTTCTTTATGTTCGTTTGCGGTTAGCGGTTTTATAGGGCATTTTCTTACTAAAGTTTGTAATTTGTAACTGTGATATTGTGTTATTTCAATATTGCGTTATTATATTTATATTATGTATATTGTGTTTCTTTATATTTTAGATAATATTATAAAAACCTTAATTCTAAATTACTTGCATTAGTTTTGATCGGGTCTACAACAATTTTATAATATCTTATTAACATAATGGATCATAAAATATTCCAAAAAACTCTTCAAGAAGAACCGTTAGAAGAAGAATATCTATATTGGAAAAGAATGCTACAAACATATATTTTAAAAGCTAAAGTATTAGATATAGATAGATTAGATGTTTTATTTGTTCTATGTGGTGCTAAATCCTTCCCACTGATCGAGAATCAATTGAACTTTGAAGATGCATTAACTATTTTAAACAATAAATTTTCCAAAAAATCTACACCTATAATGATGCATCACAAGCTAAGATCAACAAAACAATTTGAATCAGAGTCTGTCGACCAATTCACGGAAAAAAATCTGGGTTGCAGATGAGTTTTAGCAAAGAAAACAATTTGTTAAATTAAAAAACTTGCAAAGCAAAAATTTATGAAATAAAAAAAAGAGCAATGCAAATTAAAATGATTTATTTACCTCATAGGTACCATGTGAAAAGTTTAAACGGGCAATGTTCAACCCACTTTCTATAAGCTTTTTCAAGGTATCAACACTTTGAGAAGATGGACCTTAAAAATTATAAAAACTTTGTATGAAAGTAACAAAATATGATTGAAAGTTTTAGTATAAAATTTTACACCAAAAAAATTATCAAAATAATAAATAAAAATCAAACCATGGTGAACAAAACTGTTTAAAAAAAATTGAAAGAAACTAAAAAACACACGTAGAAGATTTATCCTTAATATTTTAATATAAAAAAAAGTATTAAAAAAAGTTTAAGTATTTTAGATAAAATAAAAAAACTTTTAAAACTTTCTAAAAACAAAATACGCATTAAATCATTTTAATTATTCATGGATATATTTAAATATTATATATATGCTACTTATATACATTCTATACTACTATATCATTTAAACCTGCAATATGATTTTTGATTGCGGTTTTTTAATCTTGGAAAAGTTGCACTTCATGATGTATGGACAATCCATTTTATCTATTGTTTAAATAGATTATAATGACATTATATTATTTTTTAATTTTCTAATTATTTGACTGCAACCAAAAATAATACACATATAATATGAATATTATTTTTGGCAGCAACCAAATTATACGAAAATTAAAATATTCTATAGAAATATTATTTAGTATGTATGGTGTAAAACTAGTAGATAAAACTAAGAAAGGACTTAAAATAAAGCACTAATAAATAATGATAATATTAATAACAGCAACAATAATAATAATTAAAAAAATAATAATGAATAAAAAAACATTACAAATAATAACTATAATATGATGACTTATAAAAATTATAACTAATGATAAAAACAATGGTAAAAATAATTATAGTAAAATTTATAACTATGACAGAAATTAAAAAATAAACATAACAATTGGAAAAATTATGACAATAACCATAAAACTAATACTACAATGGAATCACTATCACTATCATTATAAATAATATTAATAAGATTTCTAAAACAAAGATAAATCAATGATAACAATAATAATAGTAATAAAGTTTAAAAAAAGACAGTATAAAATAAAAGTAATAATAGTTTTATAAATACATAAATATAAAACAGCATAATTATAAAATATAAAATTAATATTCATTAAATATATAATAAATAAAAGAATAAAAATTTCTTAATTTGCTTTTGATTGAGAAGAAGGATGTTGGTAATAAACGGGTATTTAGTTAAAATCTATTTTTTAATAAATGGTATCAATTTGTTCCAGTAAAAAAAAACTTTTGGTAAAATTGAGGATTATACTGAAATTATTTTTGGATTTATAAATGAGTTTATTACAATTAAAAGTAGAAATTCTTCAAATTAAGTTTTTGTTGGAGTATGTTCATAAACTTATCCACTAAGATTTATATGAGTTTTTGGCAGTAAATCATATTTTAGCTTAGTTTCTGTTATTCCAATTATACTAACTTGATAATTTATGTAATACAGAGCCAAAAAGTGGTGGAAGAGTTTTATCAGGCTTTTCTATCAATAATGGTTCTGAAGCTGCTAACAAGGTATTTAGTTATAAAAAAGCTTTTGCTAATATGGCCACAACATTTGTATTTTTTAAAAATTGTATAAAAAGAAATGTTTGTGAAAGTGAATTGGACACAAATTGTAAATTAATATTAACAATATCTTAAATTAATTTACTGATGTGATAAATTAGGCAACATTAACTGATTTCAAATTTAATTATATTAGTTCTTCTAATGCAAACTTTTGGTATTGTTTTATTTGTCGTGTACAAAAATCAGACAAAAATTTTGTTTGATTTTTGTACACAACAAATAAAACAATACCAAAAGTTTTTTTTTAATGCATAAAAACACGGTTTTTTTTTTATGCATAAAAACACTTTGTGCATTAATTAGTTATATTTTCAGACATTAACCTTCTTGGGTAGTATTGATATTTGCATCATTTATAATAGACAAAACTTGACTATTAAAAACAGGATTAATGCTGTTTAAAGAAGGATAATTTTTAGGTTCTAGCTGGAGACCCAAAATTCAACTTTTTAAATTGATTTTTCAGGTTTTTTAGGACACCAATATGGATAAAGAAAGACTAAAATATGTCAATGTTGCATAAGCAAGTCTGGAGTTAACTATGATAAAATTAGGAAGTTTTCAAAAAATTTTATTTTTTGGAAAGAAAAAAAAAGTATTTTAACTTTAGAGAGAAAACTAACTAAACAAATTTTTGATACTTGAGATTATATTTTTGAAAAAAATCTAAAGAATAACAAATGAAGTTTCAGAAAAATTCACTTGTTATTCTCTAGAACTTTAGGAAAGTGGGTGACACTTCTTAGGTGCAGCAAAGACAACATACTTAGCAAAGGAAAAGCTCTGATATAAATTACATAATTTTTTTGTGGGTAAGAATAAAAGGATATCAGAAAATTTGGTAATTGCCTAGTGGAAAGTCACTCAGTTGTAAAAAAATTGCTCTTCTGTACTTTCATGTATAAATTTGAAAATTTCATTATGAAAAATCATCCAAACCAAAAAAGTTCAAAACCATGAACATTAAATATATATATATATATATATATATATATATATATATATATATATATATATATATATATATATATATATACACATATATATATATATATATATATATATATATATATATATATAAATACATATAAATATATATATATATATATATATATATATATATATATATATATATATATATATGCAGGGGCACCAAGACTATTAATACTACTTGGGACAGCAACCCTGATTGGCACCCCTAAAATTTTCATATATTATTAGTGAATGACTTTTTTTTCTTTGATACCTTCTTTTTTATTGGCTTCTCTTAAATATCTGGTGCCCCTTAGATATCTGTAGCCCAGGACTATCCTTTTTGCCCCACTCCTTTTGACACCCCTGTATGTGTAGCAAAAATATTACCTATTGTACATATTATTCCTGTTCCTCGAATTACAGTTGGAGGATGATCAATATTTAACAGACTTAAATATTCTCCTCGAGTTCTTGCACTTGGATGTGGAACTTGATCAGTTTCTGCTTTATACTCAAAACGAGCTTTTGCACCAGACATTTTAATATAGTAGACAGAACTATATGCAAAAAGTTGAACAATATACAAAGGATTGTAGAGGGAAAACTTTTGGGGTACAGTGAATCATTTCAATAGATTATATTATTAATAATGTGCATAATGTGCTATATTTTATAAAATTAATATTTTGGACTAACTGTTGGAAAAAAAATTTTAAGTAAAGATTTTTAATTTATTATTTGCATTATAATTAATTTATTTAAACTCATGACATTAAATTATAATGTCATAAATTTCTGTTCAAATGTTTTTTTATTTTATATTAGTGTAATTTATTCATGGATGAATTCACATTAAATACACACTTCATTACATTACAAGTCTATATAATACACAATACAACTGTTTTCTTTCACTTAAAAGAAAAACTAAAATTCGCTTAAAAATTTGTTATTATTAAGTTTCCATTATAACCTAATAGATAAATTTTTTGCTTCGATGAGTAATTTTTAAAACAGAAATATTTAAAAATTACTCATTGATTACTAAATTGAATAGCTCTTACAAACCATTCTTTATTTTACATTGCTATGCAACGCTTAACTTGCGCAAATCCCACTCTTTATATATCTTAAATGTATTATTATATATTTTTTAAATCTTTATATATCTTAAATATATAACTTCTTATTTTTTAATTCTTTCGTTTTCAGCCTTTTAGAAAAAGACATTACAATACTAAGTAAATGATGTTCACTATTTATTTATACTTACTATTTATATTTAATCAATAATATATGATATTATATTACTTATGAATGATATAAGAATAAATATATAATGATATTTGTTAATACTTACACTTCTTCAATATGATGTAATGATACTTGCTATTTACTATTTAAAATAGTATATCATTATATGATATTTACAATTTTTTTAAAGTTCATTACTTTACAATAGTTAGTAATAATCATAATTGTTGTTATATAAAATTTAACAATAACTTCAATTGCTAAATTGTTTTTTCAAGATTCAAGCGCAATAAAGCAATGACTCATCAGTCGGCATTAATTGTTTATAAAATTTCAAAACTATTTTTAATTTATTTTGACGTGTCAAATTGTTTAGGACTTGCTCATTTTTGCGTGGCATATAGTTAAATGGCATTGCCAAAAAAACGAGCGAGTTCTACACAATTATTTTGACAATTCATGATGGATTGGATTGGAAATAGTTTCGATCTTTTTTTAGGGATAAATTACGCTACGCTAAATTTATTTAAAAAACAGAAGGAGCTCTTTTACGCGGCGGTTTCGTTGTTATTTTTATTTTGCTGTTATTTCATTGTTTTTATTTCGTTGTTATTTTTATTTCGTTGTTGTTTTCGTTGTTATTTTTATTTCGTTGTTGTTTTCGTTGTTATTTTTATTTCGCTGTTGTTTTCGTTGTTATTTTTATTTCGTTGTTGTTTTCGTTGTTATTTTAATTTCGTTGTTATTTCATTGAACTTACGGCTCTGCGAGGGAAAACTTTTGATGTGTTTCGTTTTTTTTTATTAGTGAAATTTAACGTTGCGTATTTTATGGACGATCCCTATACCTATGAGTCATCTTTACGTAAAGGTGAACTTGCCATTTCATTGCCATTAAAAAATTAGCGAATCCTACACAAATTATTTGACATGTTAAATATAAATAATTGAAAATAATTTCGATTTTTTAATAACAGAATAACTTATGAGTCATTGTTATGTCACGTTTTTTGCTACGAATTGCTTTGAAAAGACTAATTTAGAAATTGAAATTGTTGTTAAATATTATATAACAACAATTATGATCATTACTAATTATTGTAAAGTATAGACTTTACAATATTGTATGGACTTTACAATTTAGTATATATCATATAATTATTTAGTAAAATTAGGCCACTTTGAATTGCAAAGTTGTTTCCCGTCCTAAAAAAAAACGGTAAAGTATGCGGGCGGGCGGCAAAATTCCATTATCCATTATTTCATTATTTATTTTTTTTTTACATTTTTTTTTTCATAGATATGTAAACAGTTAGGTTCTAGAGTTATTTTTCCGACCAGTGCACAATGGGCTGGGTATTAGACATATGCTAGACAAAATTATTCTGCTTTTGTTTTTTATTACTAAAACCTTTTAAATGTCCAAACAAGCACTTTGTATTAAGATATCTTTAATTTTATTATAAATTTTCGTTGAATATTTGCTAATACTAAAAATTATTAACCAAACTTTAAAATCATGTATTTATTATGATGTAGATACCTAAAAAATATATAGCCAAGAAGGTTTTTAAAATGAACATAACTAACTCATGTCATTTATACTTATAGAGGTCAGGATTGCGGCAGATTGATTTTTAGCGATAAGCTCCAGCCTAAAGCTAATCAGTTTATAAGAGAGAAAATATATATATATATATCTTTAAATGATTTAAATATTCATCTTTAATTTAAAGATTAATGTTTAAATCATTTAAAGATGTTTAAAGAGACTCGTAAAACGGTACATTAATAAATGCATCATGTAAGAAAAATAAATCTTTAGTGTTTTCAGGTAATTATGTACATTTTTTTGCGACAGTAGTACTATACTTACAAAAATAATACTATAAGTATAATAAACCTGGTATAATAAGACCTGATGAGTCTATATAGATGTTTGATCTAGGTCGTATACGTTTTGCAAAAATTTGCAAGACTTTGTACAAAATAAGGTTGTTTTTATTTTATTATAACGTACACCATGAAGGCGTGATGGGGCTTGTCACTCGGACTAGTACTGCGTATTTTTTTAATTTTTTTGTTTTCATACAATTTTTAAGAGATGTTACTCCTTGGCCTTGCCTTAAGTTTAAAAATCAGGTCATTGACCTTGACTTTACACCGCATCCTTTTGAATTATGAATTTTCTTGACTATTTTATAAACATTGTTATTTCATAATTTCTTCACCTAAAACTACAATTGACCTCTAGCATGAAATTTTAATAAAATTATGTGATGCAAATTTTAAACAATGTTTTATTACAAAATAAAACTCTAAGACCTTGTAAAAAAAACAGAATATATTTAAACGTCTTTCTTGCTCTTCTCAACATAAAAATAACAAAGAAATAAAAGTATTATTGTAATATTCTCTATTAAATATGATTATAGTCTATATAACTAATACTGTAATATAATAATGGTCACAGAAAACACGTTCGCAATACATTACTTTTTCTTAGTACAAAGAAAAAGTATTGTATTGCGAACGTGCAATTTCGTGTCATTTTTTCAAACATAATTGCTAAATCAAGTAAAAATTCTAATTGCTGATCATAAAATCTTTAAATCGGATATCTTCAAACTGACTTTTAACATTTAAAATTTTAAAAAAGTCTACAAGTTTTGATATAAAATCAACAGTTTCACATGAATCCTGCATTTCTGGATACATCATTTGTGCAGTTAATGTTTCAGCACAAAAAATCTGATACTTAATGCAACATTCTGTCGTTCTATGGGTTTCGGACAGATAGACATTTGATTGAGCTTTGATAATTTAACAATAGAATTTTCTCTAACTCAAACAGTATATCTAAGTCAATCTACTTGCAGTTTTTCAAGGCCACAGTCTGAATATTTTAACTCTTGAATTTTTTCAGTTAACCAAATTTTTTCTAAGAGATTTGATTAGATGGACATAATTGTAAAGCAAAAAAATGTTTTCAGTGTCCTCCATGGAGAAATCAAAATGAATTTTTTAAAGAATGCTTGATTTACTCTATTATTATCACACAAAATTGCAACAGTATTGCCATTACACGAAGAAACTAAATTTATCATATCAGCAACTTGCTCATATTGAAAATCAGTACTTAAATGATACACTAGCAGAGCTTTGTAAAAAAAATTTTTACCTCCAAATAATGAGCAAATCGTAAAACTTATAACAGTAGTTGCAAAATGTTCTGGATTATTTATTGCTTTTTCAAATAAATTACCGCCTTGATATGTTAGTTGTGGTTTTGCATAAACTTCGTCAATTATAATAATGACATTTTTTTGGCAACGATCTTCAAGATACATAAAATATTTGTTAAGGAAATAAACATCTTCTAATTTAGCAACGTTTGATATAAGTTTACCAAATGTTTCAATACTTGGCATTTCATAATCATCTTTAATACGATTTTAAAGAGATCTTGAAATTACAAAATACTCAAAAGCCCTACTTAAAATTTCTGGTGAATATTTTTTATTACCAACAAATGTTAATACAGGCATACTAATAACCGGTTAGAGGACAATTTTTTTTTTATCCATTTCGATGGAACATAAATATCAAATAGTAGGTACGTGTGTAAAAATTTTAAACCATTTATTTATATAATTATTATATATGATTGAAAAGACCTTTAAATTTGTATTAAAAAGGTGAAAATTCCAAGAAAAAATAATAATTCAACAAAAAGTTATGCCCATTTAAGTAACAATATTTTCTTATAAGGATTGCTTAAAGAAAATGGATCCAGCTTAAAAAACTTGCGCTCGGTTAACGGTATTTTTGTTAGAACTTTATTTTTAATTTGCGCATGATTTTGCTTCCTTAAAGAAAACGCTTAAAGAAAACGCAATATTTGAAAGAATTTTTTTATTTTATGAAAAAGGAACTTCTACTGCGCGGAAAGATAGGGTACGTGGGCATTGATATTTTTTTATGAAATTTAGCGGGCACATAGAAAATAGATATATACAGTTGCCTAGAAAATTTTAAAATTGTACCAACATGCCTTCAATGTTTCCCCCTCATCGGAGCAGAAACAAAATTTTAAAATCAAGTCAAAATAACTGGTAACAGTAAAAATACAACATAATTTATATCAAGAAATAACAGTAACAGTAACAGTAACTGTTTAATAAAATGTAACAGTATCAGTAACAGTAAAAGTGCTGGAAATGGTACCTCCACTACTTGGAAAAATATGGTATCTGGGCATGCTTTTTTTTCACTTTAAATTTGCAGGCACATAGAAAATTGATTTATACAGTTGACAGGAAAGTTTTAAAAGTGTACCAACATCCCTTCAATATCAATGCACTTCCAGAAAAACAACACCATTTCAAATAGCAATAAAAACACTGAAAAAATTATTAACTGTAAAAAAAAGACCTAATTTATTCAACATAAAACATTCTACTTTTTTAATAAATTCTAAGTTGATATAAAATTCTAAAAAAAAAGATAAATAAATACATCCTTACCACACCGACTTCAAGAAAACTGTGAAAAACGCGGTTCCAGTTTTTTACTGACAAATCGGTGCCGTAAAAAGCCAGATACGCACGTACCTAATATATGTATGTATACATTGATAATCAATACTATCTTATATGCAGTATATTTTCTATATTTAGAAAAAGTGAAATTTTATTTCATGAGAAAACCAAATCACGCCCTTTAAATGTTGCGAATTTATTAAAAAAGTAGAATGTTTTATGTTGAATAAATTAGGTCTTTTTTTTACAGTTAATAATTTTTTCAGTGTTTTTATTGCTATTTGAAATGGTGTTGTTTTTCTGGAAGTGCATTGATATTGAAGGGATGTTGGTACACTTTTAAAACTTTCCTGTCAACTGTATAAATCAATTTTCTATGTGCCTGCAAATTTAAAGTGAAAAAAAAGCATGCCCAGATACCATATTTTTCCAAGTAGTGGAGGTACCATTTCCAGCACTTTTACTGTTACTGATACTGTTACATTTTATTAAACAGTTACTGTTACTGTTACTGTTATTTCTTGATATAAATTATGTTGTATTTTTACTGTTACCAGTTATTTTGACTTGATTTTAAAATTTTGTTTCTGCTCCGATGAGGGGGAAACATTGAAGGCATGTTGGTACAATTTTAAAATTTTCTAGGCAACTGTATATATCTATTTTCTATGTGCCCGCTAAATTTCATAAAAAAATATCAATGCCCACGTACCCTATCTTTCCGCGCAGTAGAAGTTCCTTTTTCATAAAATAAAAAAA